CCAGCTAATAATTATCAGGAGCTGGGTATGCAAGAAAACGACCTGGAAATTTTTCCATAATAATATGGGTGTGGTAACAGCCCAGTTGGTGAAAAAGGCAGCACAAACTCCCCATCAGTGCAGCAGGTCCTCAGCCAGCACCAGGAATTCAGTTCTGTGACAGGTAAAGGACAGGTTGGGGAGAAAAAAATCCTCTTTTTTAAATTATTTGCCCATTCCATGGGAAATCCAGCACGAACTGAACATGTCAAGAGCTGCAGCATTCCCACTTAGTTCTTCCTACCTTCAATTTGCAAATGAAGAGATGCTTCTAGCAAGCCAAGTTCTGCTCATTGTGTTTCCAAAGCTTTGGGAAGATGAAGTATTTAGGTAAGGAGAAGCCATGCCTTTGGCCCTTCACATTCCCCCTGTGACAGGGGTATAATACACTTTTTGACAGAATTTTGTGTGAGTTTGGCAATATTAGAGTGAGTCTAAGCACAAGGGAACAGTGAGAGAGAAGGCATTTATTTAAGTGTAATAGTTCTTTTTCCCTGGGATAAACAACTGACAGCTGAGCCATCAAACAGGTGTTAACAGTTCCCCTGCTCCCTCCTTTACTGCAGCGTGAGCAAAACCAATTGGCAACAACAGGGAAACTCATTTTATTTACTCATTAATTGACGCTTCCCTGGTCTTACATGCAGATGCTGACAGAATGATGGAAAATAGATTCCACTACAGCTGGTTTAAGCCAACTGGGCTACAGCTTCATGGGGAGAGTCACACGGAGCACTGCAACAGTGCAAACCCCACAGAGCACAGCCAGCAACAGTCCTGTCACTGCTCAGCACCCTCACTCAGCATCGGGGTGTCCCCTCAGTGCTGAATTCCTCTTCCAGCCTTAATTATATCAGCTTAGTCATGGACTGATACCCCCTAAATGTAAAGACCCGTTTCACTTAATTCAAGCAGCAAACTGCCAACCCTGCAGGAGATGGCAGCTGTGAACACAAGAGCCACAGAGAACCAGCACGAGGCCAGGGACACCACGAGTGCGCAGCAAATCCCTTCCCCTGCCAAGGGACATGGGGGTTCACCAGCCAGGTCACTGTCAGTGGATGTAACTGGCTCTGAGGAGTGGTTCTGCCCCCCCAATGTCTGCAAACACCTGGGTATTTACAGTTCTGGCAAGGGATACACCGACACAGAGCTGCTCTGGTCAGCGACCAGCACCCTCCTGGAGCCTTTGATCTCTGCGCACGAGAGCCAGTTCACCTTCTCTCCGTGCTCGATGGTGAGCTTTGGCACAACTCCAGCCTGTTCACTTGAGGACACTTTGTTGAGCTTCCCATTTTTCCTGCTGGAAGCAGGTGCTTGGGCCTTCCTCCTCTGCAGAGATTTTGCTGGGCTTTTCTGCTGCTTCCCAACCTCGCTGCAGACATCCCAGAGCAGGATTTTCCCGTCGTTTCCTCCAGACAACAACCAGTACGCCTCTGGCATAAAGAGGACCTGGGAGACTCCCAAGCTGTGCCCCTGGAACTCCAGCTCACGTTCAAACTTGACACCAGTGACTCGGAATATTCTGACTTTACCGTCCTGAGCTCCGCAGCCAAAGACGTTCCCGCAGGAGGCGACGGACAGGGAATGTGCGAGCGGCGGGTTGAAGAACTGCCCGGCTGACTGTGGGCTGTCGTCCTCCAGGCCACACTCCTGCAGGTTTGTGGTCCACAAGGGGCGAGCTTTCTGCAGGTTCCACAGCATGACCTGGAAAAAACCAGGACGAATCAATGATTTGTCCATTTCACACAAAATCAGATCTTTAGCAGTAAGAATAAACCACCACACTTCTTGTTCTAGCAGAGCAAAGGCTGTGCATGAGTGCAAGAGGTGTAGGGTGTGTGGTGAGGAGGGGCTGAAGATGCCCTGATAAATATGGCAAATCTTTCCAGCCTGGTCTCCAAACCCCCACCGCCATACTCTGCAGTCAATGACTCAGACCTTTAGACCACGAAGGGGATGCAAACCCTGCTCTAAAAGCCTCTGCATTTATCTCAGCAACAGCAATCCTGACATACTGCACATCAATTATTGAGAAGGAGGGACATGGAAACACTCGCAGTGAATAGAAATCAGTATCATTCTGGATTTTTGTCTCTGCTACGCACTTGCCCTACAATAATCATCACCATGAATGTGTCTGAAAAATGGGACAGCAAAATGCAAACAGCAGTTTAGGCTCTCATTTTTAAACAGGTGTATTTGTATTTCTTTTTATATCCAGTGAGTAGATCTGGTTTGTGCTATTGAGCAGGGTGTGCTTTTCCTGAAGAGATGGGGGGAGGTTGTGCTTTTAGTCTTGCTTTTCAAATGCCACCCCACCCCCAAGCCCCCTCTGAAGTGATAACTGTGCCTTCACACGAATCCTGGGTCTCTCATATAGCAGTTCAAGCACTACAGATTTATACTGAGCCAATTAAAAATAATTCTCTCAAGACTTTCATAGGATATGAATTGACAATAAGCATTTTCAAGGCCAACAGAGCCAGAAGCACAACTCAGTCTAATGCAGCACTGGTGTGCTGTTTGCTTCATAAAGCTAAGCTTTAATTTGTTGTTGATAAAAATATTCCTTCAGCAGTCAATCACCAGTAGTAATCACCAGCAGTAATCACCAGAAGTCTTTAAATCTGGGCCACAAAGGAGCTGTCACCCTGGCTCTGCCTTTCTGGAATCCAAGTCACGCTAAAACATCTGCAACACATCATTTCCTGTCACCTTCCTGTTTCAGTGACTGCTCTTGCTGCTGCATTAAAACTACTTTGCTATGGATGAAAGGGAAAACTTTCCACAACAACTGTGATTTGTAAATCAGAGAGGCTGGGTGATGCTTACAGAAAATACTCCTTTTTCCATCACGGACAGCACTGCAACAGCCTGATAAATCCATCAACTGCTGACAGGTTTCCTGCAGACTAAGTATTTTCTGTCCTCGTGGCGTTTTCCCTGCTTCCTTGGAACTCCTGAAAGAACTGCAGCAACCTAAATTTCAGTTCTTACCAGCCACAGCTTCCCCGAGGGTTTGACTGTGAATCCAGAACATGTTTTGATGCTCGTGGAGCTCGTAACTTGTCCAAAGACATGCTGCAGCACAGCATTCCAGAGCTCTGCAGCTCAGCTCCCCTTTGGGAAATGATGCATCTTAAAGGCAGCCTCGATGCAGAAAAATGCTCTTTTCACTATATAAAAACACACTAATGAATTCCAACTCTTTTGGGATACTGACTTTCACCTAAAACCCAGCTTGCTGAGCTACAATAAAAGAAACTAATACTAAAAAGTCACAAAAAAAATAACCAGCTCACTTGCACCTAGTGGTATATAAATGCTTACAATTCTGATAAAAAGCTTCCAGGCTTGTGAATCTGCATTTTAGGGTCCTGAGTTAAGCCAGCTAAGGCACCGAGCATTTACTCCTCTCAGACTAGATCTATCATCAGGAATTTAATGTGGAAAATTACCATTTATCCTAACTACCAGCATGTATTTGCTCTAATGGGTTTGAGATGTGCTTTGGTTTCAAGAACACAGAGTGAAACTGTTCAGTGCTGTCAAACAAACTTCACCCTGACATGCTGGAACCACAGAAACCTTTGAGAAGTGACAGTTTCCATCTCGGGCTAAACCAGGAATGTGGTCAGATCTCAACCACTGGAAAGAAATTACTGAAAAACATCTGTTCTGGGTGGCAGGCTCTGAACTTAACTCCTAGCACGGTTCTTCTCAGAATGCAAAGGACAAAGTTTCCTCTTGACGAGGACAGAGAAGTGTAAAAAGGCAAAGAACATTTCATGCTTCCAAGAGATCAATCAGAACAAAGGATGAGTTGTAAAAATGACTTGTCCTTAGTGATATGCTCCACTTGGAAAGACGTTGTAGTAAAGGAGCTTTGCACTGTATTCTGATTTCCTCCCACCCCGCTCACTTTTGGATTGTAAATATTGAGGAAGATAAAAACAGGGAGAGGAACTGCTGAGTAGAAAATGGCACAAACAGCCTTGACACTTGGTTTTTGGGCCAAAACTACTTTTGAATAGTGATGGAGCTTCCCAGTGACTGCAGGCTGGACACCTTCACTTTCAGTGAAAGTCTGTGGGTGCCTCACTACGACAGGTGGGGTTATTACTGTTTCACTTCACCAATAACCATCTACGTGTATGCAAATCACCTGCATGTCCAGTCCACAGGAAACCAGGCTTTGAGGCCGCTGAGGTCGGAAGGCAACAGAGGAGCAGATGTTGGAGTGTCTCAGGGACCGTATGGCTTTCTTGCTTTCCAAGTCCACAACCTTTATGGCCCCCGAGTCATCTGCCGCGGCCAGGAAGCTGTCAGTGTCGCTCAGGGAGAGGCAGTTGATCTCCTCCTCGTTCACGTGGAAGCGCTCCAGGGGCTCCTGGAGGGCCCGGACATCCAGCACGCTGATGGTTTCTCCGTGGGAGGTGTACAGGGTGCTGGGGCGGCGGGCGGAGAACACCGCGGAGGTCACATCCTCCTCCCCCGGGAGCCGGAGCTGTCCCGCTGGAGAGCCTCCCCCATCCCACAGCGCCAGCTCCCCGCGCTCCGCGCCGGACACCACTAGCCCCTCTGCGCTCACAGACAGGCACAGGACAGAGGAGGAATGTCCACCAGTCCATTTGACTGCCATGCTTTGGGGACACCTCTGAAACAAACAAAAAAAATCCCTGAATTGAGCTGGTTGTCGGTCACATTACAGCAGAAACTTATCAAGAAACAGGATCATCCTGCGAAGTACTTGAAACTTCAGTGTCCAGGTAAAGCAGGCATAGCTCAGTACCCACGTGGAGCTTTGGCTCAAACAGCAGCAACACCAGGTGCTGGCAGGTCTTCTCCAACCTAAAGGACACAACGATTCTACGATCCTTTTAAAAGCAGCATTACCAGTTTAAGGCAGGTTAGTTGCAAGGGTTGCAACACGTTTAACTGGGTCTCAGAGCACGCCCATGGAGCTCGCCAAGCTCACCCTTCCCTGGCGTGACTGCTCACAGCCCGTACCACAGCCCTGCTTACGGGACATCAGCAGAAAATTAAGTGAGGGAGGAAAAAACAAAAAAAAAGAGTGACACAAAAGCATAATAAGCGTTGGAGGGGCTGGGACACTGTGGGGAAAGGCGAGTTAATGGCAGGGCAGGGCACAGGCAACGTGGGGCTCGTGTGACAGCCCAGAAGCCGCTTCGCTGCCCTCCGTGGGTTTATCGCGTTACTGGGCAATAAACGGCTTATTTTCGTTTGGGGTATTTTTTACCATGTTACGCTTTCCACGTGATTTTTGCCGGGACACGTCTAAAGAGCAGCCAGCACCCATTCAATGCACCAGTAAAACTTCGGTCTCAGCGATTAAGTAAC